GTGACAATGGGATCTATGAATGGGGGGTGATAGTGACAATGGGATCTATGAATGGGGGGTGATAGTGACAATGGGATCTATGAATGGGGGGTGATAGTGACAATGGGATCTATGAATGGGGTGTGATAGTGACAATGGGATCTATGAATGGGGTGTGATAGTGACAATGGAATCTATGAATGGAGGGTGATAGTGACAATGGGATCTATGAATGGGGGGTGATAGTGACAAAATGCTTTGTCTTGGTTCAATCCCCAACACCCCGAAAGAGAAAACCAAGGCTACAGTCCACAATGATGCAGCAAATGATGAACAGGGAAGGAAAGGTCAATCGTTACATGTAAAAGGAATGGCAGGTTTTGGCAATTAGTATCCAGCAATCATGAGTCAGGTGGAGATCGTCAGTGGATGCTGTGTGATGAGTGAAGATCTGGTCCATCTACGAGGCACTGACTGCAGAGGGGACGGAGAATTCTAAGACTGGAGTAGTTGGAGAGACAACACCTTCCCCAACTGCTGACACCCAGCCCTCAGAAACCGGAAAACTTGGGAACTGTTTGACAGGTAAGATGCAAGAAGGAAACATTTCTTCTGTGGCATTCTCACGCGCCTAAATCTAAGAAGGAAGCACTAGGCAGACTGGAGCTGAGGGGTAGTCTACTAAATAACTGGTCTGAAATCTTAAAACTGCTTCATGAATGTCAACGTAACCACGGACTACAAAGTGTGATGACTCGATCATGACGCCTGTGACAAACGGCAACCTGAGTGAAGCCTTCGGGTTAGAGAATGGTAGTCTATCAGGGCTAACTTCCTGGTATGGTGGGCGTCCTGTGATTTACAAGATGTCTTCCTGGAATTACACACTGATGTATTTGAGATGGTGAGATGTTGCTGACTCAGCAACTCAGTGGGAAAGTTCCTTTGTGCTTTTCTTAGTACTTTTAAGTTTGGAATTATTTTGAAAAAAAAAAAAAAAGGATATGAAAGTAATTTTTTCATAATGATAAAAAAAAAAAAAAAGGTACTGTGCTAGCTGGTTTTTATGTCAACTTGGCACAGGCTAGACTATCCGGGAAGAGGGAGACTCAATTGAGAAAGTGTTTCCATAGGATCGGCCTGTGGGCAAGTCTGTGGTGCAATGTTGATTAATGATTGATGTGGGAGGGCCCAGGCCACTGTGGGCGGTGCTAGCCCTGAGCTCGTGATCCTGGGTGCTATATGAAAGCAGACTGGGCAAGCCACGAGGAGTGAGCCAGTAAGCAGTGTCCCTCCTTGGCTTTTGCTTCAGTTCCTGCCTCCTGCCCTGACTTCCCTCGATGATGGAGAGTAAAATAAACCCTTTTCTCCCTAAGTTGCAAGGTAAGCGGGTACCATTTAAAAACCAATTCACAAAAGCTCCCTCCTGGACTGTGGTTGTGGCCCTTGAATACAGTGCATACCCTTTGAAAGGCAGAAAGAGGATCATGAACTCAAGTCCAGCCCAAGCTGTAACATGAGACCCTACCTTCAGTGACCACACAGTTCATTCTCGTGTGTGAACTTAAAGGGAACAGAATAATAGCTGAGCTGGCTGACGAGGAATGCTGAAACATGTAGCGATCATGAACTCGGGCATCCGCAGTGGCCTGTATGGGTCGTGAGGAGGGATGGGGACCCATCCCTCCCTGAGAAACTACAGCTGTTGATGGATGCTTGAAGGGGCGCTGTCCTAAGTGCTGCAGCTATTTGCGAGCCTGCTCTGTGCCACAGCCACGCCCACAAAGGTTGTCATCTCAGGGGTCACAAGGGCCTCGTAGGGAGGGGCTTCCTCGGGGATGGGAGGGAGGTAAGAAAGGGTAGGGGTTAGTGTGGCAGTGCGCGCCTTTAATCCCAGCACCTAGGAGGAAGAGAAAGGCAGATAGCTGTGAGTTCTAGGACAGCCAGGGCTACATAGAGACTGTCTCAAAAAATAAAAACAAAACAAAAAGAAAGGATGGAGTGTAAGTGCGACCACTGTGTATTATGTGCAGGTGTGAAACTGTCAAAGAATAAATTTAATTAAAAAAAAAAAAAAAGACTAGAGCTCCAAGTGTGTGTGTGTGGGGGGGGGGGGAACACCTGCTGTTTTTCTCTTAGGAAATGGAAATTTAACTTAAGTCACTTAATTTAACTTGCAAAAGTAACCAGTTACCCTACCAGGAAAATTCTCATTTATCAATTCTATTTTTCCTTGACTTCTCCAGCTCTTCGGAGTTGATTTTTTCCCCTAAAGTAAACTATAGATTATATTTGCAACCAAGAACAAAAAGCTTGCTCTGCAAATGACGAACACTGCTTCTAATGTGAACACAGCAGAGAGAAGGGACCAGGGAGGCAACAGTGTGGCCAAGGGACCCGAACCCACAACACTTCCTAATCCTGTGTCCCCAGTCCCACGACACTGAAGAAGTGTCTGCAGCCACTGTTGACCCTTCAACAGGAAATCATTCAAGTAACAGTTTGCTGTAAGTTCCTGGCGTTCGTCTTTTGGGTCCATTGGGCTCAAAGCTGAACTAAAAGAAACAAAGGACTTACCCTAAATTATTTAAACTTCTTTTGTTGTGAAATTTCACCAGAAACTGAGAATTATTCACCATTTATTCCTGATACAATATCTAAAATACATCTTTTTAATAACATAGTTCTTTATTGATTCTTTGGAAATTTCACATTATGCACCCCAATCCCACTCACCTCCAAGTCCCTCCATATCTGCTCTTCAGTCCTCCAGCACTCCCCCCACCAAATTAATTAAAAAAACAAAACAAAACAACAACACCTTGCTCCTACCACCTGGCTCCTCCACCTCGCCAACACTTCTTCATTCATCCTAGCGGCATCAGGAGCTGCGGTGTGTCATGAAGTACACCCTTTTGTCCAATCAGCCCCACCCACAAAATGTTCATCGCAGTGAGTCATCGGTCTGGTTCAAGGACTCTGACACTCCATCACCTCTGGACACTCATGGAAACTCCTCTCAGGTATCCTGCTGTTGCTCCGTCATGGAGATCCTGCAGCTACTGTTCAGCAGGACCAGTCCCTTCATGAGCTCTAGCAGGTCCTAGAAAGGGCAGATGTTAGGATGGGCCAACCCAAGCCCAGGATGTGGGCCTGGGTGGTGGCTGGGCTGGACAGTATGGGCCACTGGGACCAAATCCCTCAGGCGAGGGACGGAGCAAGTTCTCCTACCCCCATGCCATTGGAGCCAGCTCTCCCATGGCCATGGTGAGGGGTGGGGCCATCTCTCCAGAGTGTGGGGTTGGAGGGAGCTCTCCCACGAGGGGCAGGAGCAGCTTTCCTGCTGCAGTGTACAGCCAGGGGGCAGGGCCACCTATTCCAGAGTCAGTGAAGGGCTGAGTTAGCTCAGCACAGCCCTTGGATTTCAACACACATGGTTCTTACAGCCCTCTGTGGTAACACAGGCCATGGACATCATCACAGACCTCAGCTGCAGCAGGACCCCTGACCCAGACATGGCCCTCAGCAGCAGCTCGGACCCAGACATCACCACTGCCCCAGGTGGCAGCACAGGCCACCCAGATCAGTGTGGCCCTGGTGGTACAATGGCCCTCAGACAGCAATATGGCCACAGGTTGTGGCTTAGGCCCCAGGCATCCATGTGGCCTTTGGTAGCAACACGGGCCAGGGACATTAACATGGACCTGACTATGGTAGGACCATGGACCCACACATGGTCCTCTGCAGCAGTCCAGGACCAGATGTCACCATGGCTCCAGGTGGCAGTGCAGGCCACTCGGATTGACATGGCCCCAGCAGCATGACCCTCGGACACCAATATGGCGCCAGGTGGTGGCCCAGACCCCTGGCATCAGCATGGTCTTTGATGGCATCAGGAGCCATGGACATCAACACTGACCCCGGTTGCCTGAGGTAGGGCTACGGACCCAGACATGGCCCTCAGCTGCAGCTCTGGGCCCAAACATCACCTTGTGGCAGCACAGGCCACTCAGATCTGTATGGCCTCAGCTGTGGCATGACCCTCAGACTAAAATACATCTTAAGGATCTGTGAATTGTGTGCAGAGAAACATGAATAATCAAACATTGTTCAATCAATGTATCAAAAACAAGAAAGATAGACACAGGGAGAGGGAGGGGAGGGGGAGATAGATAGATAGATAGATAGATAGATAGATAGATAGATAGATAGATAGATAGATAGATAAAGGGTCAAGAAGTTGTGCCAGACGATGAAAATTACACTTAAATCTAAATTTTATTGAGCTTTCCTTCTGGAATTTTTAATAATTAATTCATCTTCTTCTGGTTCAATATGTTTAAGATTTCTCTTCTTCATCATGCCATTTATTACAAATAATTATACAAAGTCATATAAGACATACATTAGCCATTTCTTGGGGAGCTATTTGCTATCCAAATTCCAGAAGGCAATCTCCTGGCATTGTGCATCTGATTGACATCCTTGAGGGCACCGTCACACACAGGAGCAACAGGTGCTCACGACCAGAGTTTATAGAAAGGAGCCTGGAGACACACTCCAGTTCCAGACCTGGTTAACAGGAGTGACTGATATCTTAGGCGTCATTTAACTTTGTTTCCTTGTTTATGAAATGATATAATGTTAGCTATACCTTATTAAAATGTTTGAAGTTAGAAAATAGTTGAAACACTGTAAAATGTGTTTGTATTTGTTTAGCAACCTCAAATTTGTGAACTTGTGACCCAGAAACAGAAGTTATTGAAGGCACTTGTTTCACTTAAAGGATGTAGGAAAGTGTCTAGGCTAGCAGTTCTCAAGCTCCCTAATGCTGTGACCCTTTAATACAGTGCCTCAAGTTGTGGGGACCCCAACCATAACATTATTACATTGCTACTTCATCACTGTAATTTGCTACTGTTATGAACCGTAATGTCAATATCTGATTTGCAGGATATTTGATATGCATTCCTTATGGGGGTCTTGACCCACAGGTTGAGAACCAAGGCTCTAGAGTTACACCTCCAGCATTGTTACTGCCTTCTACAGGAGACAAGTACTGCTAACTTTAGATTGTCAAAATAGTAACTTGAGGTCATTAGGACTTTTGACAAATCACACTTGAAAGCACTTCCACTGATAACAGCTTGAGGGGACCTGGGGAAAATAATACTATCAGATGTGCACTTGACACATTAGACTACCACAGCACACTCGACTACAAGAGTCTGGTTGTAGCGTTTATTCAGATGATCTGAAAACGTTAGCAATCCCTGCAAAGGTACTGTGTCTCCTGTAGGAAATCCGCTGGAAGAAGTCACAGCTCCTCTTAACAGGGTCCCCACTGCACACTTCTCTAAGTGACAGAAGGAAAAGGGGTCGATTCCTAGTTTGGTGTCATGGTCATGAAACGGGATGAGAAAACATGAGACATACTCAGAACAACAGAACACAAACTATGCATACATATAAATCCTGAGGTGTTACAATGAACTTCAGATACAGATCAACATGATCCAAGTCGTTTTAAAGACACCGTTGTGGTGGGTAAGTCATTTTCCAGGATACGCCGCCTGTATGTCCACATCATGTCAGGAAAACCCTTTGTGTGAAATGTGAGAGCTAGTCATCCAAAGCAGGTGGCCAGTCAACATCTACAGACTAAAAGAAAGAACACAAGTCATTAAAACAGACATTCTGGCAAGCATTGCTGGGGACAGTTTTACTGGAATGCAAGAGAAATGACACTGGACGAGAGCGGCAACACTGAAGGCCCATCTCTGAACTAATGGAGACACATTACTCCTGCATCTCCTGCTCCTAGGAGGAGAAACTGAAAAACCATGATGTCAGTTGTGAGCAAAGTATAAACAAATTCAGATTTGGGTAGTCACCCTTTTCCTCACAAGACTCAACAACTGTTGCTCTGAACATTTTCATTCTACCATCTGATATTTAACAAAATATAGTTACGTATCACTTAACGGTGGGGACACATTCTGAGAAATGTGTCATTGGGTGACTTCATCGGGCAAACATCTGAGTGTACTTTCTTACACTAAGGTGTGATGTCACCAGGTGATATTAGCTAGTGGGACCAGTATTACATGGCACATGGCTCAAGCAGTCTGTGACTAAATGTGAAGAAATGAATACAGAAAATCACTAGAACTAAAAAACGTCAAGTATCTTCTCATTTCAGAATTTTTGTTTCTTTTAAAATTTGGCTCAAGTGCCGGGTGGTGGTGGTGCACACATTTAATCCCAGCACTCAGGCAGAGGAAGATGGATTTCTGTGAGTTCAAGGCCAGCCTACCCTCTTCTATCCCAGGTCCTTCCTTCTTGCCCCCCCCACCCCCCACTGCCAGGGCTTGGGAAAATGGCCACATAAACTTGTTTCTGACTAACTTTTAAATGCTTCACCTTATCTGTTCAGTTTGTCTTGAGAAACAAAGAAACAAACACATGACCACGTGGTCAGTCATCATTTGATAAGGGCCGTCATGTGGTCAGGCAGATGCCATCTTTGCTAAGGTCAAAGGGGGACAGGTCATATGACCTCACTGCCATCTTTACTAAGGGCAACAAAAAGTCACTTCCGGTCAGTGGCTCAAGCATGAGCAGGGATCCCGGCCCTCCAGCCGTCTGGGCAGAGCAGAGGTCCGGTCGCGGCCTGGCATTCATTCCTCTGCAGCTGCTCATGTGGGCAGGGCCCAGACGTATGCGCCCCCCTCAGGGGCATCAGTGGAACCACATGCAGGCATTATCATTATTTTAAGATTCTGAAATTTCAGATTTTAACATTAATAGGGCAGTTTGGGTCACAAGCTCAGGATTTTAAATTTGCCTTGGTTGTCTTCTAAATATAAACTTAAACTTCTCATCAGGCCAAAGACATCTCTGCCCAATCTGTACCTGGCTCTCTCTAAATAAAAACTGTACATACTTTTTTAACCCAATCTTTAATTTTGTTAGGACTCAAAGGTATGAGCCTAGATACTCATTACCTGCTCTTCTATGATTTGGATTTTAGTACTGATTGATGATACAAATTCATCTAAAACTTTCATGTCCTTTTATAAAATAAAAATTCATATGAACTTCACAGGATCAAAAGAAGCCATGGGACCCACTTCACAGAGGTCAAACAAGCTCCAGACAAATGAGTTTCCTCACATGTCTGTTCCTGGGGATGGAATTTCTCTCCCTCTTGGTCTCCCTTTCCCAGTCACTAAGACCATGGGCCAAGAGCTTCCAAATAAATTCATAAAATTTTAACTTCCATCTCTAGTCTAATCTGTTTCAGTGGCCTTCCATCTGGCTGACTGACACATCCAGGCATTGGCTACTGACTTCAATCTGTGAGACATGGACCTGCTGAAGGCTGATGGTGAACCAGTCCAGCCAAAAACATAATCATTTCCTGTCTCTACAGCTAGGTCAGATGACCACATACTTCTGATAAATTCCACATTGCCTAGGTTCCCTCCTTACCTTTGACTAGCCAGGGTCCTGAACACCTGCATCCCGTTGCAGCTTGAAGCAGTTATGGAGAAGAATGCATCGTCTTATGTTCCCTGCTCTCAGGACAGGCTGGAGGGCTAAGTCAAAAGTGAACCCTTGGCATAGGGAACTGACGTGGCTACCTAATGCTCATTGATATACCAAGAAACTGGACCCAATACTGCAATAAGATAAGACACTTGACCTTCTTTATGCAGAACAAAAAAAGTATTAAATAATCTTGAGAGATGATTATTTCTATATATATCATTCAGGATTATAATCTGGCTGTACTCAAAGATCAGAACTACAGCATCTGGGCCTTAAAAATGGTAATAGATTTAGATATCACTGCCAATGGCTTTAAAAATGTCTCTCTTGGGCTGGAGAGTTGGCTCAGCGTTTAAGAGCACTGACTGCTCTTCCAGAGGTCCTGAGCCCAATTCCCAGCAACCACATGGTGGCACACAACCATCTGTAATGAGATCTGGTGCCCTCTTCTGGCCTGCAGGCACACATGCAGACAGAACACCATATACATAATAAATAAATAAATTTTTTTAAAAAATGTCTCTCCTTACTCAAGGTCTGTTCAAGAATGTGAGCCTCTCTGTCCTTGCTAACTTCATTAAGCTGTAACAAACTGGGAAACCTGTACATCCACATCTAACAGATTTTGTTCCCCCAGTTCTCAAACACCTGTAGAGATATGAGAGTATGACATTTAATATAAAAGCTTTTTATGACAGAGAGACATGTCAGCTCCTGGCAGCATCTTATATCTCCTCCAAGAAGATAGATGGCCACAAAAAAACTTCCAACTGGAAGTTCATGGCAAGGCTGGCCACGTAGTGGAAAGCTGAGCTCCTGTCCAGACCGTGAATAAGAGGAGCAACAGGGATTGACTGTGCTCTGTGCAAAGACAGGCAGGATGACCTCCCCGAATTTTTTTTTTTTTTTTTTTTTTACTTGAGAGCCCAAAATATTTTATTTAACAATTTGAATTTAGGAAAAATAGCAGCTCCCAGGGAGGAAGCTTCTTGAATCAAAAGTGGTTGGCAGTCAACACAGAGCCTGGGCAGGGTTGCACCAGGGGCAAGGGTCCTGCCTGGTCCCAGCAAGGACACAAGTTGCTACTGACCCACAGGGACAGGTCTTTCTTAGTGACAGGAACAGGAGGGTCCGGGCACACTCATCTATGGAACATTCTGGAAACCATTCTGTGAGTCTTTCCTAGATAATTCAGGGAACCAGAAAACCAGGAAGGGCTGTACTAATTCCACTTTCTACAATTTCTAAATTTAATACCAAACAAACCGTTTATGTTTCCTACCCTCCCCGAATTTCTACTGCACAGAAAAAAATCTGTCAGATCTTCTGGCCCTATCAGCTGAACAAGTGCTACCTTTGGGGCTTCTGTCCCACAACAACTACGGAGAGACTTGGGACTGCTGCCTGGGTAGCTGGAAAGCTGTCTCACTTCTTAAATTTATCCTTCTCAGATCTGACGATGTTTGATGACTAGGGTTCCAGTTTAACAGCCCCAATCCTGAGATTACAAGCACCTTAATAGTTGATCAGTAAGTTTCCTGTTGAAATTACAGACAGGTATGCCTCATTCACAGACTTCATGGTACAGGTTTCAGGTATAACTCCAGAGGTTCAAAGTTTTAATACTGATAAATGAAGTTTTGATAAACTGATATAGCATTGATTACTAAAGGTTTTTAATATTTTTAACCCTTTTGCTATGATGTAACTCCATTCCAGCTGTCTTACAGATACCCACAGATTCCTAGGAAAAGTTCTACCATTGCATCAAGAAATCTGGTCTGATGAAAACTAACAACCCGCAGAGACATTTCTGACCCCACCTATTTTTCAAGCATATTTTGCAGATTCGCTGTTCCCGCCTGACCTCCAGAGAGACAGCAGATGCCATGGCTTCTGTACTCCTGATTTGGCATGCCATTTCCCCCAAGCTCCTGGAACACCACTGCTGCAACCTGCCTCCTCAGCTCCTCAAGGAACAGATAGATGCCTGACATCTCTTGCCGTGAGTGACTGCGCGCGCGCGCGTGTGTGTGTGTGTGTGTGTGTGTATGTGTGTGTGTATGTGTGTGTATGTGTGTGTGTATGTGTGTATGTGTATGTGTGTGTGTGTGTGTATGTGTGTGTGTGTGTGTGTGTGTGTGTGTGTGTGTGTGTGTGACTCCTGGTTTCCCCCTCCCCACTTGGACAGCCTGAAGCAGTCCCAGGAATTCAGCGCCCCTTGTTCCCCGACTTGCTATGGATAACTCACCTTTTTTATAATTAAAGTGGAGGACATTTAATATTCTGACCTGCCCCTTGGAAACCCACCCCTTTGGGCCACCCTGCGTCCTGATGTAAAAGTGTGATTTAAGGAGCCCCCCCCCTTCCACTCTCTTTCTCTCCATTCCTATGAGGTGTGCACCCTTGACCCCCCCCTTCCTCTCTCTTCTGTCTCTTCCTCTTCCCCTATCTTTCTCTTATCTCTCTATTACAATAAACTCATTTCCACGCGGATGCAGCGCCTGGGTTATGAATGACGTGCCACTGCCCGCTGCTACATCTGCCCAGCATGTTTTCTGTCACATGTGGGATACCCTGGTCAGCCGGGGTCCCCTGAGCATGCACAATATCATAAAACAACCCCAAAACCAAACCAAACCAAAAGCTTTAAGTGCCTTACTACAACTAATGCATCCATTAGCCCATGATCACTTCACACTTCAGATTCCCTAAGCAGCAGAAAACCCAAACTTGACCACTGCACAAGTACACACTGCAGCTTTTATGACTCCCAAGACGTGCTGTGCTAGGGTTTTAGATACAGCCATGGACCAAATCATCATGTCAGTTCACGAGTAGTTCCTCAAACTAAAAACGAGACACAAAGAATCAACTGTGTGTGCAGAGGACAGGGAAGGGGAGGCATAGCACTGTGGGTCAGTAGCTCTACAAGGTCCTACTTGACCAGGCTGAGAAACTGACCCGGGGCTGACTCTAAGCTGTCTATTAACATGGATTGGAGCATGGCTCAGTGTAGAGTTTTGCCTAGCATCCTAGAAGAAAATGTCTTCAATTATTTATTTGAGATTATAATATAATCACATCATTTTCTCCCTCCAAACCCTACCCTCTATCCTTCCTTGCTCTCTTTCAAATTCATGGTCTCTTTTGTCATAAATTGTTGCTATATACACACATAAATGTACACGTACACGTACACACACACACACACACACACACACACACACACACACACACACACACACACATATATGTTCCTAAATACAACCTGCCCAGTCTGTGTAATGTTACTTGTATGTGTATTTCCAGACCATTTGGCATTGGATAACCAATTTTTTAAAAAAGCGAATGTGGTCGGGACTCCTGTGACACTAAGTTGTCTCCTTACAGCAGCTTCATGAGGCCCCTGCCGTCTGGACAGTGGGTCCTGGCTGCCCCGCAAGAGCGTGTACCATCTAATGACCGCACGACTGCCACGGCTGTCTTCACAGGGGCACACGTCCACTTCCTCTCGTACCTCTGCAGAACGCTAGCCTCTCCTAGGACTTTCAGTGGAGTCAGGCAGGAATTCAACTTCTAATCAGGTTTTCTTTGAGGAGCACTGATTGGTGACATCACAGCCCAGCAGAGCCGTTCTGTCTTTAGAGGTTAACCCTGTCTGGACTGACAGCTCTTACCTTCCCTGGGAGACAATGCCCTGCTTTGCTGTGTTTGTTCTGAGTCAGGCTCCCATGCTCTTGCCTCTGCCTCCTGAGTGCTGGGTTACAGATGAACCACTATGCCTGGCTTGAGAAATCCAGTTTACTTTATCTGATCTGATACCTATTCTGAATAGATGCTCTTGAGCAAGTGGTCTTAGATACCCCCTTGAACATTTACTTATTTTGTATGTGTGTGTGCATACTCATGCTTGCACACACGTGCCCATGCCACAGCACACAAGGAGATGAGTGGTCCTCTGCTTCTATCATGTGGGTCCCAGGGACTGACTGAATTTAGTGGGGCCTTGGCAGCAACAGCCATTACTGAGATGAGCTCAGCCCAGCCGGGAAGTTCACCACCACCCAACTCCCCTCTTCGAGAAAGAGTATCTCTATATTGCCCTGGCTGTCCTGGAAATACCCATGTAAACCAGGCTGGCCTTGAGCTCAGACCCACCACCCCCTCCCTGCTTCTCTAGTGCTGGGATTAAAAGTGTAGGCCCTCATGCCCAGTTCTAACATTCTTTATAAAACACAACCTTAGCAATCAGAAGGATGCATAAGGCAGTTAAACTTTATTTTCTTGTTTTCTTTAAAGGTTTAATCTAATGCCAAGGGTAAATTAGTAAATGACAGTACCTAATACCAATTAGTAAATTATATAATCCACAAGCATCACAATGGATCCTGGTTGTTGTTTGTTTAAAATAATTACACAGATAACTCTTTCCTGTACCACAAAGCTTCTGTGAGGTTTTACTATCTTCAAATACCTGCAGAGGGCTGGAGAGACGGCTCAGCGTCTCAGCGTCTAAGAGCACCGGCTGCATCCCGGAGGACCTGGGCTCCGTCCCAGCACTCACCTGGTGGCTCACAGCCATCTGCAACTCTGATTCCAGGGTACCCAACACCCTCTTCTCAACTCCAGGAGCACTAGGCACACATGTGGTGCAGACATACATGCAGACAAAATACTCATATACATAAAAGAAAATAAATCTAAGAAAAAAAAAGACCCTCATATAAAAAAAAAAAAAAACCCATGGAGACAGGCAGTGCTATTTGGTTTAGTGTCAAAAGATCTAATTTAGCTGAATTTGATTTGCAGATGTGCACTCCCCCATAAAATACTTTACCTCCACATCTAGCTCAAGAATGTCTGCAGTCACGTTCATCAGAGAGCCAATATTCGGCTTGGTTCTCCCAAAGTCTCCGTGTACAAATTCTTTAATGTAGCTAGGTCTGTTTAAGGAAAAGATCATGCAGTACCAACTACTTTGGCAAGTGGAAGGGAAAAATGAATAGAATTTTAAAATGTTACAAAAGAGATGCCATTTCTAAACTCGGACTTGAGATGTGTATCTCAGAAAATAAGCTGAATGCCAGCGGCCTGGATGCCAGCACAGTAACCAGAACCTCTGTTTACATCAAACTCACCAGGGGCCACGGCTTTGCTTTGTTTCAGACAGGGTACCCCAGACTACATGAACTTGACCTGGATCCTCCTGCTTCCACCTTCCAAGTGCTGAGACTGGAAACCTGCCGCATCTCCCACCCCAGCTTTGGGTTATTAGCTCATCTCAAAATGCCAAGGTTCGGGTATACATTAAATTAACTATATAGTCCAATGCCTTTTTTTTTTTTTTGGGATAGCATCTCACTGTGTAGACCTAGCCTAGAACTCACTCTGTAGACCAGGCTGGCCTCCAACTCAGAAATCCACCTGCTTCTGCCTCCTGAGTGCTAGGGTTAAAGGTGTGTGCCACCATGCCCAACCCAATGCTTTTCTTTTTAACCCCCCCCTTTCATGTCTCCATTTCTATTTTGATATATGGTCCCATTTTTTAATAATGGCAATTGGTATCTACCAAACAGTAAGTTCCACAAGACCACACAGAAAGTGACCTCAACAATGGGGCTCCTTGTAACACCTTAGCATTAAGATGGAAGGGAGAATTAAGTTATTAATTTAGTCTTCTTTAAAAATAAACGTAATACTTATTATTTACGCATGCATGTGTGTCTCGTGAGTGTACACCATGTTCGGGTGACTGTACACCATGTTCGGGTGACGTTGGAGGTCAAAAAGGGAGCAGGACCTCTACCCTGAGGCCGCAGCCTCAGGCAGTTGTGAGCCAAAGAATTAAGGTGGTTTTGCTTGGTTGATGTTGTCCGCTTTTTGCTTCCTTCTCTGTGTGTGCTCCCGAGTGCTCCGCCATGCACCCCCCAACCTGACCTTGGAACCACTGTGTAGTCCAGCCTGTCCTGAATAGAAGCAATCCTGCGTGACAGGAGTCCAGTGTGAACTACCACACCTGGCTAAATTATTTTTGAGTTGGGTTTAGCAACTTTGTGTTCTCTTTCTAGGTCTTTACATTTTGAAGGCAATGGTTAAATCTGGAATTTGTTCTTAATAAGATTAGCATTCCACAGCACTCTGCTGTAGCCCTGACATTATCTGCAAAATACACATCTTCCCCATTGTTCACTAAGAAACAAGAACAAGAACACTGCATGAGTAAACGGGATCAGTGTAAGTAGTTAACGGCATCTGCATGGGCAAATGAATGCATCCTCAACACTAGGAAGCAACATTACAAGTTTTCTCTCCTCCTCCTCCACTACATGTTCTGAATCAAACAGAGGACATACTGTTATTTAGTAGCTTTCCCCCCCTGAATTCACAGGTTCTCTTCAATTGCCATTCTTTTTCTCTGATTTTCTTCAGAGAAAGCCAGTAGTAAAGAAGGAAGCCGGCCAAACAGGAGGCCAGACAGTGGGGAGGTCTGGACCTGACTCATGCTGGAGGGATGAGACTGGGGGCAGTCAGCCTGGCTGAGTCGGGGTGCTGGGCTGTGCAAACCTGGGCCAGCACACAGGAACTGAGAACACAAAGGGCATGGACCTCTACGAGAACCACGTGCTGTGCACAGTCACCAGTTCTTGGCTGACATATTAAGTACATATATGTAGCTGTTTCCAAAGGGTGTGAGTTTTTCCAAAAGACAAAGAATTCCTTCTTGGCATGTAAATTAAAGATGGGGTTAGTTTTATTTTGTTTTTATAATCTCAGGAAGGCCATGAGGCTCAGTGGTAAGATATGTACTTAGTATGTATGAGCCCTGAGTTCAATCCCCAACACCAAAGTCAAAATAAATTTTAACATTTGTCATTTCTTTGAATTCCATCCACAATAGCCAAATGTGCTCTAAACAATAAAGAAGAAACAAGCTGCCCGTCAGAATCTGCACAAACCATCCCTGATTCAAAGTGCAGAACGGAAAAGGTATTTAGAGTAGATACCCCAGTTCAGCGAGGTCAATCCAGGGCACTCTCGGGTGGTGTAAAGGCGGGAAAAGATGTTTAAGAGAAGGAGAGGCCCCTCATTACAGCAATATGATGATGAGACCATCTGGTGACCAGCCCTCGACTCTTCCCACGGGGGAGGGTACGTTGCTATACACAGAACCATGCACTACCTGCATGCCAAATAAAATATTTATCATTTCATGCCACTGGAACACACACACACACACACACACACACACACACACACACACACACACACGTTGGTTGGGAAGGGCAATAAGAAAACCAAGCATGGTGAGACATGCCTGCAACCCCAGCACTTGGAAGGCAGAGGCAGAATCTGGAGATCAGGGACAGCCTGGGATTCACAGTGAGACGCAGTCTTAAAAGAAAGCCAATATTAAACTAGGCCTAAGACTGCTGGAGCTCTCTGACGTTTCCATTAGAAACTCAGTTCTGATCCCAAAGCCACAAGTCAAAATAGGTTATAAACAATTATTAGCATTGGCATGCAGGTATTTAAAACCCTGAGTTACAGTCTTTCTATTTAAAACACAGTCAAAATGCTGTGTCCAAACCCTGACTGCTTACGGTGGTGACATGTCCCGGTGTCTGGGTTGGGGTTTTCACACAGGCCTGTGTGTGTGTAAGTTACGGTCACTCTGTCACAAAGCACCGGACACAGCATGTGTCGGCATTCCTGTCATCCGGGAGGCACACACCGAGGACTGCTCAGTGTTCATCTTGAGCCTCGGGACAACATGGTGAGCGCTAATCTCAGACTTTAAAGATAGTGAAATACCTAAAATACCGCTGTTTCTATCACCCGTGTTTCATGAGTTGGGCAAACACTTGAAATACTCAGAGGACCAAATAGAGTTATGAATATGTGACTCGTAAAATGTGTAAGAACAGCAAATGAATCAATTAAAAGCACTTTTTGAGTATACTGTATGATAAGCACCGGTAAGACACTAGAGCAGAACTGCACATTTGAAAGCTGGCACTGAACTAACTGATGGACACTTCATGGTTTAAAACAGTTCCGAAACACAAATGGAAAACAGACTTCAGAAGAAAGTACTGATTCCCTCCAAAATGTTAAATGAATACACTCAAATCCTTTCCAAAACATCCCAGATCACCCGAGGTAGCACTGGCCTGTAATCCCAGCACTTGGGAGGTAGAGGCAGGAAGATCAGGAGTTCAAGGCCAGCCTGGAGTACAAGAGCCCTGGGGTACAGGAGAACACATCTCTAACAGAAGTAAGTATCTCCCAGATCAATGGAACCTGTTGTCGAGGGCAGCAGGAGCTACCTGATCCCATCCTGGCTAGGTCTCTGCAATGCAGAGGTGAAGGATACGTTCCAGCTTGGGTCTTCAAATACAGACGAAAATGATGCTCGTCCAGGTAGCGTGTCTCCATAGAGTGGATGGCCCGAGTTCTCACGGCCAAAGGCCTTCGGTGAAGGACCCGGAGAGGTGTTTTCTGGTCAATCTTTAAGTCCTAGAGGAGGATATGATGCAATCACAAGCCACCCATAGCTCACCACATTAGTTCCCATCACTGTCAGAGCAGGATGGGACACGCTAACACAGAACCAGCTGCAGCTCCTTAGGCTCTATCTCAACGGGACTTCTCATTTTCTGAATACTACCATCCCTATCATAAGACGGGGGCCGGGAAGGGAATGATCCCACCGACTCTTCTGCCCTGACACCTAACATATCAGTCAGGATTCTGGCATAGGTCTTTGTTAGAGGACAACATTATTACCTTTGTTTTCTAATGCCACAAAGTGACTGACATAAAAGTGAGGACTTCGGGCTTCCAGTATTTCTTATCCCAGCTTTACAAAAATAATATTCACCTGTATCTTAACAATTCAGATTTTTTCAGTGATACATGCTGCTTTTTCTTATAATTACATCAAATTAGAGATTTCCCCATATGCTAGGTGATATAAATTAAGAAATAGGAATTAATACTATAAAAGGTCAACTACTTCAACCTTTTAAAAATAGATTTTAGGCAAACCAGACAAGTTGGTTCTTAAGAACTCTGACTTCTCTGCAGTTTCTTGCTGGAACAGCGCCTCCGAATTTGCATGATGAGTGAGCAGTCTCCACTAAGGAGGGAAAGGCTTCAGCCTGCATTCCTTTCCAGACACCAAGGAAGAAGAGCAAGTTCTGACTGAGGCCGGCCGCACTGAAGGGCACGGCTGATCCTAAAGGCAGTCGACAGCCTCTCCCCTGTGCTTTTTATGAGTCTATAATTCTTAGGAGTGAGCTGTCTCCATGGGGATTGACTTTTCTCTGGCTAAAAAGACCAACGTTTTCAAGAATGAACTGTGATGAAGAGTTATAATGATGTATATAGAGACTCAGAGAGCAGAAACACACAGTCTTTAAATTCGCAGGTATGGCCTGGCACGGTGGCACACGCCTTTAATCCCAGCACTCTGGAGGCAGAGGTAGGGGGATCTCTGTGAGTTTGAGGCCAGCCTGGTCTACATAGAGAGTTCCAGGACAGCCAGAGCTTCATGGTAAGACCTTGTCATCGAGAGAGAAAGAGAGACAGAGACACAGAGAGAAATGAACAAACAAATACAAGCAACTATCCAGTGAGAACTCTCTGGCTTCTGTTATTGACTCCCAGGACTGACTAGGAGCCAATCACCAGAGCTGTAACTCAGGACTCATCAGTACACATGCCCATGTGTCCTTTTGGTCTGCTGTTTAGACCACAAAAGGAAACCATTACACCCACTCTGAGCTCTGTACTGTGTTGTCCCACACTGCTGAATTTTCAGAAGCACACAAGCACAGTTTTTCCTCTGAAGTAGGCTGCCCTTTAGAGGCGGCAAGCAGTGAACCTGAGGTGGTGAGAGAAATAACTCAGCTTCTATCTTTCAGCCAATGGGAATTTTGTAAACTATAACAATGTCACTAGAAACCAACCCGGCCCAGCAGTGTGCCCGGGAGTGGTCTCTTACCACTTCCAATGTCCCTACACAGCCACCTTTCTATGTTACTTTTGAGTTAGAGCCACGGTAACCCCCAAACTGGGCTGTTTTGTCTTGTTTTTGCAGTGCTGGGAATCAGACCGAGGGCCATGCCCTAGGCAAGCACCCTGTCACTGAGCTACATCCCCAGCCCTTGAATCTATTTTTAATGGACTTATTTTTCACTGAGCCTCAATGCCAGCTCCCAAACCTTTTTTTTTTTAAATGAATTTCCTTTTTAATAGCATTCTAAATGATTCATACATTTACATTTTTGGTGGGTTTTTGGTTTGGTTTTTTAGACAGGATCTCACTATGTAGACCAGGCTGGCCTTGAACTCAGAGATCTGTCTGCCTTTGCTTACTCAGTGAGGGCTTACAGACATGTACCATTATATCCAGCTGATTTATACATCTATGAAGGGATATATGATCTTACAGACTCCATAAATCTGTCTGCATTCTTAAAGGTATGTCTGTACTGTATCTACTTCTCTGGGGCTGGAGATGTGGCTCACTTGGTACACTGCTTGCACATCCCTGGGTTCAATCCCTAGCACAGCACAAAAACAGGCGTGGTGACACATACCTGTAACCCAGCACTCAGGCGGATGCAGGAAGATCAGAGGGGCAGCAGCATCCTCGACTACACAGTGAGTTTGAGGGCAGTGTGGGCTACACAGTAACCTGTCTCAATCAAACCACAACAAAACCCAAACTCCTGTCCTGAAGGCCCTAGGCAAGAGCAAAGCACAAAGGCTGTGGAGGTGACAGGCGTCTCTGGGTGGACAGACGGTGCGTGCCCTCCCTGCCGCATTCACATCTCTCGCTGTGCTTGTCTCCTGAGTCAGACTCTGACACTGTAGTCTTTCCCCAACGTTTTCTGATAAGCACAGACACACACTAAGCCACATTAAGTAAAACCATGCCCTGCTTTTGGCTTTATTTTTAATAGCTGCAGGATGCTCATTCACTCCACCACTAGCTCACCCAAAGCTGCTCTGTTGGCTTGCTTAGTCTCACTCACAGCCCAGGCTGGTCCTGAACTCACACCTTCATGTGCTGTGCCACTACATCCAGCTAATGTCATTTTTCTTTCCAGTTTGACACTGCTGATTTTGCCACTTTGAACAAAGTCAGAAAAGCTCCTTTCACGCACGGCCTTCGGCAGGAGTCACGCTCCGCAGAGAGCCTGTCAACAGAGGTGAGGTCATCAGCACGGTTGGTTCTTCTTACAGGACTGCCATTGCCTTCCAAGTCTGAAGAGCTTCTGTCTGCCTTCCCGACTTAAGGAATGGAGTAATGGCATCTATTACTTTGTCCTGGAGGTGGAACAGCATTCCAAACGATTCCTGATCATGGAGTTGTTCCTTTTCAACCATCTATTCATATCCTTTATCCATTTTTCAATCTATTCAGTACTATACTTTTCATGACTAAGTATAAATCTTATTATGAACATTTTTGCCATATTGTTTTCTACATAACCACACATGTGTGTACACACAGCACATTTGGATGTGCTGAAATCAGAAGGCATTACCCTCTAGTTATTCTTGCAGCTTTCTTCTTAGGGAAACTTAGGATAACATTTTCCCTATGTTAACAAGCATCACTTTAAAGAATCAGTTCTTTGAGGTAGGGTCTTGCTGTACTTCCCAGGCTGACCTCACACTTGTGGTCCTCTTGCCTGGATCTTCTAAGCCACCACACTCAGCTCCACCACATAATTTTAAAGATCTGGGTAGTGAGACTCCGTTATACAGATATACGCTGTGCGCTCAGTTGTGCTCACTCAAGCCTTGAATGCTCTCTCTCTGGTGTCTGCACAGGACAGAAGGCCACAGTGTCCTTCACCGTCACTAGAGTCTCTTGTGTCTGCCCCCACAGCTCGGGGGTAAGGCACACGTGGCCACATCTGGTTTTAACATGGAGCTGAAACCCAGACTCACGCTGGGGGATGTCTTTCTGTACACTGTGAATATATGCTGTTCCCATTAGTTAATAAATAAGCTGCTTTGGCCTAGGCAAGGCAGCTTAGAGGCAGGTGGGAAATCCAAGAAGAGAGACAGGAGAGAGAAAGGCAGAGTCTGGAGATATGCCACCTGCTGCCCAAGGAACAACATGCCAGCAGACTGGTAAAGCCACAGAACTCATGGCGAAACACAGATGAATAGAAATGGGTTAATTTAAGATATAAGAGCTAGCTAGCAAGAGCCTGCCATAGACCACACAGTTTGTAAATAATATCAAGCCTCTGAGTGATTTTATAAGCAGCTGCAGGACCTCAGGGCCGGGTGGGGCTGGAGAAAATTTTCCACTACGTTTGGCTGTCCAACATGTTGGCTGGAGTTTCCACTTAAAACCTGAGAAAACTTAATAAGAGATTCTAAACTGGAGCCAAAAACAGCTTCCTACTTCATGTCTCATTCAGGCCGAGATACAGGGACACCATGGAACAGAGACGCCACAGCATTCCGGCTTGAGCACAGCATGGCTGATTCCTACATCAGTACACAGGTGTCTCCAAGCTGTGAAGCATGCTGCATGGCAGATTTAGCTTTTACTCATACAGACAAAGGGTTTATGGGTCAGCTATAGGCTACCTGGAGGCAGCATGGACCCCAGAGTGGGCAGGGTAAGAGTGACCCTCCTGGGTATCTCTGCCATGTGGAGAAGCTGCAGTGGGTGGAGTCAGCAGCCAGGGCTGCTGCTTCAATCTTAGCCATGCTGCAGTTTGCAATGATGAGAAAAGGATTACAGATACACAGAAGAGAGATTCAGATGGAATAAACCTCTAAATGGCTTACATTATATGTAAAAATATAAGTAGGCTTGGAAGAGAGAGGAAAAGGAGGATAGACAGTTATATAAATTATTTATATAATTTTAAAAAATAAAAGTCTTTAATAAAACAGTAAAAGTAATATAAAAAATGGCCATGTAAAGATGGAAATTGCACAGAGAGTCTGGATTATATTGTCTTTGGGATTTTTTACTGGAGAGAGACATGTGATTGTAAAGGCTGCTGAGTTAAACCAATATAAATATTTTAAAGGTATCTTGACTTCAGAATTCATGTCTAAGCATATATTGCTTTGGAAAAGAGGTTCTGCTTTTGTTTCCATAGAAGATAAGAACCTGTGGATTCCTTCCAGATTAATAGGGTTCCATCATGGAAGACCCCGAGAGGCCTCCAGATGATCCAACATCCAGAACAGCGTCAAGGCAACTGTCTCAGAGAACACAGCCTCACAGACTACTCCAGTCAGGACTTGACCATAATCCTAAAATTTTCTTTGTGTCCCCCATAAGACTACCAGCAACCCCCCATCAGCAGGAGGTAGCCTAGAAAACTACACCCACATTCCCAAAAAGTGGATTATGGATATTTGTCTTTGTTCATGGGTTGGTTACAAATTGTTATTGGTCATAGTCAATCTCTTTCTAAAATTAAAAACAGGGGATATGATATAGATAGGATAAAAGGGTAGATTATTGAATCTACTTTTAAAGAGCAACAACTTGTTTAAAATGTTTTACATTGCTATGGATTTTAGTTTATTTATACAAATTTAAAATTAATTTTGTTATACTATATATATTTGTTTAAGGTATTATGTTTATGCAACTCATTTAAAATTGTAATGTATAATTAAGAAATACAGATTAAAGTAATCTAGGATAATCAAACTTATAGTTATGTTAATTAAGTTTTCTAGGCATACACAAATATATTTCAATTAGGTAGGTAATTTTCAAACGCCTCAAAAACCTACAGAATATGGCATTAAAAATGTTTTAAAAAACAGACTTTCTGGACAGTGAGACATGTGCTCCTGGTAGCACCAATTTACTTCAAAGAGGATGATGGGCATCCTTATGGAGTTTGCTTTCCTTATGGCAAAAGTAGCCATTTGCGCAAGAAACTGTTCTTGCCAGGACTGCTTGACAAAATGTTCTATCAACTGGACATGCAGGACCCATGGAAAAGTGACCACTAAATTTTGCCAAAACAAGGCATGATGGTCCTTCAGATTCCTGCTTTACAGAGGAGGCTGCCAGACACTTTACAGGACACAGGGAGAAGCAACTGAGAAACTCTAGACCTATAGGCTGAAGATGGATGCCCCAATGTTGCAGAGAAACTTTGGATGACTGTCCAGGCAGCCAGCTGTCTCTGTCATTTCTAAAATTTTAGAAGTTGCTTACAAAGCACTTCCTGTTTACTTAGGTAATATTATATCCTTCTGGTGTCTTTGATGTAGTTGAAGACTAGATAGTTATAATTTTCCTTGGTTACGGTAAAAGATAAATTAGATATGAAACTTTAGACTCACAAATATAGAAGTTGATAAATTTTTTTTTAATTTTGCCAAATACAAATAGACTAGATACTGTAATTGTAATTCTTACTTGATAACTGTTCGTTATATATATTTTTACTATATCAAAGCTAAAACCGGGCTGGAGAGATGGCTCGGTAGTTAAGAACACTGGCTGTTCTTCTAGAGGTCATGAGATCAATTCCCAGCAACCACATGGTGGTTCACAACCATCTGTAATAGGATCTGATGCCCTCTTCTGGCATGAAGGCATAAGTGCAGACAGAGACATCTAATATATATATTAAAAAGAAAAAAAAGCACTAAAAAGAAAAGTAAATGCCACACAGATAGTAAAATGCATATATATATACACACACATATATATGTATATATATACATATATATATATATGTATGCTGTGAATATATGTTGTTCCCAATGGTTAATAAATAAGCTGTTTTGGCCTATGGCAAGGTCATAGGAAATCCAAGGAGAGAGACAGGATAGAGAAAGGCAGAGTCTGGAGAGACGCCAGCCTGCTGCCCAAGGAGCAACATGCCAGCAGACTGGTAAAGCCATGGAATACATGGCGAAAGACAAAAGAATAGAAATGGGTTAATTTAAGATATAAGAGCTAGCTAGCAAGAGGCCTGCCATAGGCCACACAGTTTGTAAATAATATCAAGCCTCTGAGTGATTATTTTATAAGGGACTGTGGGGCCAGGTGGACCAGAGAAAACTTTCAACTACTCAGGTCCTCATTCTTGCAGGGCGAGCTCTTACCCACTGGGACTGTCTTTACAGGAGAGACAAGGAATGCTCAACAGGACAATCAGGCCCTCGACAGTGACCTTCTCACAGAAGACATGTGCTTCATATAACTGTTACACTTCATTCACTCATATATGTGATTTTAGTATCAATTCTATTAAATACATTTTATTTTATATTTAATTTTTATAGATAACCAAATATAATAGCACTCCTCAATATTTTCTATGTGGCTGGTACCATTTGAAATGCTTTGTACAACTGAACTAATTTAGTTTTTCAAACATAATTTCACAGATGAAGCATAGAGGCTAAGGATTTGTCCAGAGTCTTACAACTACGAAATGTAGACCCAGGGTTTTTAACCTGTGTCTGTCTTCAGAGTCACCAACACAGATTCTTCTTTTTTTTTTTTTTTTTTTTTTTTTTTTTTTTTCCCTTTTTTGATTTTCGAGACAGGGTTTCTCTGTGTAGCCCTGGCTATTCCAGAACTCACTCTGTAGACCAGGCTGGCCTTGAACTCAGAGATCTACCTCCTCTGCCTCCCAGGTGCTGGGATTAAAGGTGTGCGCCACCACTGCCACCATCGAAACACTGCTTCTCCCAAGAGTTAGACAAGCATCCGATCACTCTGCCAGTGAACTGGAAAACCAGGATTTGAATGTAGGTCACAGACCCCAAAGCCTAGGCACTGCGGCTTGCTGGTAATAAACTAGAAGACAACGGCTTTTTAATATGCAGAAGAAAAAGAAAACAAATCAAAAACTGCAGGTAAAGTACCTTTAAGTCATTTAGGAATCCAATGTCTTTCTTCTGTATGACTTGATTCGTCCAAATCAAGGCACTGTAGGTCTTGGTCTTACCCTCCTCACCTTCCTTCATATACCCGATTGCCTCTCTAAACACCAATAACAGAGGAAAGTTTGTCCCAGCACATAAAATACACACAAACCTTGTCCCAAATCTCTGCTCCCTTACAACAGCTTGGCTGAGGTATAAACTGTACATTCTATGAACTCGACTGTTTCTGGAGCTCTGCATCTAGCATAGTCTGGCTTACGGCACTCCCACTGCCCCCAGAAGGGCCCTCACACCCAGCAGCTCTTTCTTCCGATTCCTTTCCCAAGCCCAGGATGACCTAGCACTACTTGACTTTCAACCTACGAGGTATGATCAGAGTGGTGACTGACTGGCTTCTGTCCTTCACAGTGCTGTCAAGGTCAAGGGCATCTATGGTGCAGTATGAATCAGTACTCCATACCTCTTTATTTTAAGGAAAAACAAAGCAAACAAACAAACCATATTACACTGGAGGGGTACATAGTAGGTCCCCCTTGCCCATGAATTCACCTAGCCTGCTGTCAACCTCCTACTAAAAGTATTACAAAAACTTAAAAACAGGCAATTGATGCTTACCTTATAGTATATTGCTACAATTGCCATGTTTTATTATTAGCAATTATTTTTTCATGGCTTTTTAAAAAAGATTTTTTATTTTATGTGTATATGTGAGTGTTTGCATGTATGTATGTATGTCACATGAGTGCCTGGTGTCCTTGGAGTCCAGGAAAGGGAATCAGATCCCCCAGAGTGAGAGGTACAGGTTGTGAGTCACCATGTGTGCTGGGAACTGAACCCAGGTCCTCTGCAAGAACAGTCAGTGCTCTCTCTGGCCCTGACTGGTTCTCGTTTTTTTTAGTCAAACCTTTTCATCAATTATGAACTGTCAGATAATTCAGCATTATCTGCAGTCTTGGGTGCCCACAGCAAGAAGAACACATCTTCCAAGGAAGAGACAACAATTTCACATTGTGTTTTCTATAGATAGATAAGCGGTATCTACTTTTTTTTAAAAAACAAAACAAAAAAAAAAAAAACATAATTGTTTTATGCAATCCAGGCTGGCCTGAAATTCACTACTTGGCCAAGGAAATCCCTGAATCCCAACCTTACTGCCTTGGCCTCCCAGTTAGAAATTACAGGCCCGTGCTACCACTGGCCTCTTCTCTGCTTTGTGAAAACACTACTACGAACATCCCTGGTGATCTTTGGGTGACGTATGTTTTCACTTCTGTCACTGATGTGATACCTAGAAGGGGAACTGCTAGGTCATATGGTCACCTTACGTTTGAATTTTTGACAGACTGTCAACGTGCCATTCTGAGTGACCCCACTTTCAACCCCATTAGCAATGTGCATGACAGTTTCTCTATGCCCTCTGTTATTTTATTTTTTCAATGACAGCCTTCCTCGGGGGTGTGAGTGAGCCTTAGCTCACTGCAGCTGTGACCTGCACAGCCCTAGTGTAAGATGCTGTGCATCATTTCACATTCGTTGACTACTCACACATCCTTCCTGGAGAAATGTCTACTTAATCCTTTTCCCATTTCGTAATTGGGGTTGGATTTTTTTTCTTAATGTAATCTGTGTGCAATCCCCTTACCAAATACATGATCTACGAAAACGTCCGTTTAGAATCTCTCCAGCATGCCCATCCTCACCTGGTGACAAGCTGCAAGTCACGTACTTGGATTTTGTCAGATGACTTATTAATTTTCTGTAGCAGCAGAGAAAGAAAGACAATCATCAACGCTAGCTCAGTCACGGGGTTGCACAAACAAGATGCGTGCACACAAGTGTTTACCTGCTGGAGCTCCTTGACTTCTTGTGAAGTGAAACGCACTCTATGAGGGTTGAGCAGCTCCACCGCGAAGGGCCTTCCTGGAAGTGCACGCCCATCATGAAACAGAAACGTGTCGATGGAGTTAACATTTGGGCAGAGGCAGGAGGTGTGAGAACGGGCTGAGCACTAGAGGCCTGACGGTTCAGTGACATGACTACATCTGGGGGAGGGGAGAAAGTCTGAAGAGCAAAGGGGCTTTTGGGGGCTGGGGCAGGAAGGCTGATGTGAAAATGACTGCCTTCCCAGAGGGCCGCACACAAGCCTGTGTTAATTACAAAATAAAATTTAAACAACCACTAATTAAGTTGGTTACACTAAAGGAACTAACATTGTCATAGAGAGCAATGCCCAGATACAACAAGGTGAGATCCATTCTCCCAGTTAATCTACTAGTGACAGGAACAACTGTGATTCCACAAGGGGAAGGAACTACAAACATCAAACAGCTCAACATTAATTCTCATTATCTTTCTGATAACTCAACAAGATGAAACGAGAGAGAGAAATGAAGGCCAAAAGGGTAGAGTCATTTTCAATAAAGATAGACATACTGAAAAATTCTGAGATATTCTCTGTTTGTTTTTTGAGATAGGGTCTCTACATAGTCCTGACTGTCCTGGAACTCACTATGTAGACCAGGCTGGCCTTGAACTCAGAGATCCATCTGCTTTTGCCTCCAGAGGCATGAGTCACCACCAACTGGTCTGAGAAGTTCTTAAATGGAGTAACTAATAAACTTTGAGGGAAAAACTTTTTCTTCTTCATGCACATGAAGTCCATTACAGATTACAGCTTGTGGTAAGGACGTCTCTGAAGAAATGACTGCTGTTCAGACACAAATCATAGTCCACAGAGGTAGCTGCACAAGCCACACGCTCCCCATGTAGAGGAGCCTGGGTCCTCCCACTGTGGTTCCAAGTGACTATAGAAAGTTACTGCCTCACAGGTGATTATCAGCAGCCAGTTCTCATCATGTGGTATTGAGGCCATCTTACCATTTCCTAAAGTCCTCACATCTACATCTTCTCTTCCAGAGGATGAGAAATTAAAACCTGTAAGAAGCAGAACAAGGGGAGGAAAGGATGAGAGACAGCAGCTCTAGTATACTTTGTTCCAACCGCTGGCAGAAATCCACTGAAGGACTTGTGGTCCCAGCAATCCATGGGAGAGGACCTCAAGCAATAATGATCACCCCACCTCTAATCTCAATCTTGGCTAAAAACAGTGATGATAATAATAAATACTACTCATTATAGGTACTGGGGTAAAATTATACACACATCATTTAATCCTCATTATAACTTGACGAAGAATTAAATAAATGAACATTACGCTTCATAGATTTAGGTAATATTAAACAATCCAGTGGCAGAGCTATATATTTTTGACATCAAAGCCAGAGTTTAACTAGCATCTATATCACCATCTCATAGATAGGCAAGGCCCCACCTCCTTGGCCACTGGCTTGCGGCAAAAACTTTGTCTTTTTTTCTTAAAGCAGGCATAACAACAAGAGCAATCATGTTAAAATTAAACTCTATGGGGAAAAAAAAGTGAGAGAAGAAAGGTCTGACCTGTAAAAAGCAAATTGAGTATATAACCAAACCCAACATGGAGCCATGTTAAAATCACTGGACAAACCAAGATGAATTTATCCCCACTAGCACAGCTGAGAATGTGAGACAGGGAGAACAGTTTTAAGGATCTACACAGCAATGCTCACAGATGCAGATCAGACAGAAGACTCTGTCACCACAGCAAACACCTGAGCAGGCATCACTCCAAGTGCTTTAAAACAGATGCCACTGGCACTGTTTTCACTTTCCTTCTAAAGAAGGTGAGACAGGCAGGATGAATCCACTGCCAAAGTCACATCAGATTAAGAAATGCAGATCTGGTAGCCACCCACGGCCAGTGGATCAGGCACTCTGACACCAGGTTACACTGGACCACAAGACATAAGCAGAGGTCAGGGCTGAGAAGGGATGGAGGAGGCTCTGGGAACCTGAGTAGTCTGTGCAACGATGACATTTAAGGTCTCTGACAAAGAGGAAGCAGCAGCAGGGTGCTGGTTCACAAAGCACTGGTGTGTTCACTCAGGATGTCTGCTGGGGCGACGCACGGTGCGTGACGTTAGAGAGACACAGGAAACAAGGTGGACAAGGTCCTCATCCTCAGAGTCACCCTTTATGGAGAATCAGCGAGTCTAATGTGACATGTAGACACAGGTCAGGAGACAAATGTAAGGACACTCCTGCACTGTGAGCACAATTCTAGTTTTTACCCTTTATTCTATTTCTTACTGCAGTGTTACATGCACTTGTGTGTGTGAGATGGTCTGTGAGTACAGGTGTGTGCCATGGTGTACATGCGGAGGACCTGGGGATCAAACTCGGGCCATGGATCTTAGCAGCAAATGCCTTCAGCCACTGAGCCATGTCACCAGCTCCCATTTAGAAATGTTTTCCAACTTGAAACTAAGAAAACACTCTGGAACTTAGAATAGAAATCATTTATAGGAGAAAACCCTTAAAACTTTATAAAGTGTATAATGAGGACTAGCTGGAAGTCTTTAGTACTAGAGAATAAATGCTTAAAACTTACTTTTCTGAATCTCAACTGTGTCTCGCCTAATTCCCTAAGTGCCGGGTTTTAAGCATTTCCTGGGAGGGAAGGAAATGCCAAAAACCAATGAAGAGCAGTGATTATCTGGACCACTAGGCGGCTCAGCTACACAGCGGCTCTCAGGCCCCGGGTGGGTGCCAGCTGACTGAAGGCTTGAAGGCCCCAGAATGCCAAGACACATAGCTTGGACTTGACCTTGTAACTCATCATGCACACAGGGAACTGACCCAACAAACATTTTAGTCAGTAAATAAAGAAGTAAATGTAGTACTAGGGGAAAATGTCCTCGACTCATTGATTTTGAGTGTGTCAATTCTTAGTACTCCTTAACTACAGGATTAGCAAGTACATAACAGGATGTGCCATTAAAGCAATGAGAGACAAGTTTTTATGTCCTCCTTAGGGACAGAGTGGTTATCATGAAACAGAGCTGCTCACCCAGCTCTTGTCTATTCCACACAGTTGTCAAACTTAAGGAGGCAACTGCTAAACTCATCTTCCCAGAGTCCGCAGATATGAACCACTGACCAGAAATAACACGTCACCCAGCTGAGAAGCATGGTTGGCAAATGCTGCTATCAGTCAGGAACTCTGAACAAGCTTATACCACCCACCCGCACACAGGAGCAGGGGGCACCCAAGTCCAGCAGACTATACCACCCACCCGCACACAGGAGCAGTGGGCACCCAGGTGAGAAGACTATACCACCTACCCCGCACACAGGAGCAGGGGGCACCCAGGTCCAGCAGACTATACCACCCACCCCGCACACAGGAGCAGGGAGCACCCAGGTGAGAAGACTATACCACCCACCCCGCACACAGGAGCAGGGGGCACCCAGGTCCAGCAGACTATACCACCCACCCCGCACATAGGAGCAGGGAGCACCCAGGTGAGAAGACTATACCACCCACCCTCACACAGGAGCAGGGGGCACCCAGAACCAGCAGACTATTGTTTTTCAGCAAGCTCTCAATCAGTTTCTCTATGAACACGCAATCTGCTTTTGTTTCTTGTTTTGGGGTTTTTGTTGTTGTTTTGAGATAGGTTCTTGCTGTGTAGCCCTGGCGGGACTGGAACTCGATATGTAGACTAGGTTGTTCTAAACTCAGAGATCAGACCACCTCTGCCTCCTGAATGTTGGGATGAAAGGCCTACGTCATCATCGCCCGGCCTGTGTCTTTGTTGTGTGTTTGTTTGGAGACAGAGTTTCAGGAGCCCAGACTGGTCTCAAATCACCTTATAGTAAGGATGATCTTAAATTTGTGGGTCTCCGGTCTCTACCTTCCAAGTACCAGGATTCTAGGCCTGTGCCACCATGCCTAACTCAATGGTGCTGGGAATCGATCCCAGGGCAACTGAGCTACATCCTCAGCCTCACAGCTGTCACTTTCAATTGGGGGACAGTACTTTCCCTTCTAGTGGAAGGACCATAAATACCTTCATGAACACATACATGAAAAACTGCCACTGCAGTCCCTGAGCCCTGAAGCAGCCAGGGGCTTGAGACCTAAACAGTCCAAACTGAAGATCCCTGAATTCCCATAGAAAGGAAGTGAGGCAGCACCCCCTCACACACACCCCAAAATCGAGCAAGGTGCCTTTTCTCTTTGTTCTTTTTGGTGCAGTGCTGAAATGCAAAGCCAGAGCCCAGTGCATGGTGAATGACACCTTCAGCCCAGGAGAGGCTTTTAAGCGGAGCTTATTTTCAAGTCTTCAGTAAATGATAGTAGTTTGCAAATATTAAGCAGGTGAAATGCCTCAAAGTCTTTTTCCTAAAAATCTGGAAATATTAGGCTTCTAGGTTATTTTTCTTCTCTGTTGAGAAATAATTCATGTCAGCTAGGGAAACGGCTGAGTCATTTGTCTCCGGTGTGAGCACCAGGAGCCAAGTGCACAGACCAGCCCCCGTGTGAGCACAAGCAGCCTAGTTCACAGACCAGCTCCCATGTGAGCACGAGCAACCAAGTTCACAGACCAGCCCCCGTGTGAGCACCAGGAGCCAAGTGCACAGACCAGCTCCCGTGTGAGCACGAGCAGCCTAGTTCACAGACCAGCTCCCGTGTGAGCACCAGGAGCCAAGTGCACAGACCAGCTCCCGTGTGAGCACGAGCAGCCAAGTTCACAGACCAGCTCCC